ACTTTTCTGCCACGTCAAATAAATAAATGACACAATGGAAAAAACCTAAAACAAGTAGTCCTATTTCAAACCACATTTACTTACTAATAAAATTTCTTTGTTATGACACTTTCTCCGGTTTATAGGACCTCTCTCATATTCTATCTTGTCATATCTAAACTCATAGTCATGTATGTCCTCTAACCATCTCATAACGGTTTCCAAACCACTTTTATCGGATGTAAAGTAAAAGCATGGATGGTTATGTAAAACGTCTAAAGTTTCTAAAGAGTCTCTCAAGTCCAGTCTACTTGGTATTGAAAATCCATGTGTTATAGAACGGCGGGTCCACTATAAAGAAAACATTTTCCTTGTCTTTATATTTTTCATACAACTCTGTCCAACGACATCTCACAAACTCTATACCCTCAATATATTTTTCTATGTCCTCTTTGAAAACATTTGTATAGTTAAGATATAAAACGTTTGACATAAGTGTTTCAATGTCATGAACTCTTATAGAACCACTATATAATAGTCTAGCAGATATACTATCCCAGTCTATATATTCTGCTTTTTTCAAAACCTCTCTCACAATATTTTTCTTATCTAATGGTATACGTTCCATCTTACCTATAGGTATCTTTTCTTTTAACTCTTTCAATATATTGTTTGTGTCTGGTATATGTTTGAGACGGTCCATATAGTTGTCGAAGTCATTGCATATAATCTTTGAGTCTGGGAATATTGTATGGCACAAATGGGATATATAGAAACTTCCACCGAACAAATCTACAAATGTTAGACCATTCGGTAGTTTCTTAAGTTCTCTCAATATAATATCTTTACATCTACTCTTATTTCCAAAGAACGGTAACGGTGGTTTTGTAAAATTCATTTTATATATATAATAAAAATGTTTTTTCCTGAAAAGTGACAGAAAAGTGACAAAGCATTTACGAAGAAGTCATGACAAAACATTTACGAAGAAATCATGAGTTTTCTACCCTCTCGAAAATCATGAAATTTACACCAAAAATATATTTTATGTTAGAATGTTAGATCTAACATGTTTTCTAACATGTTTTCTAACATCGTAGAAAACTCTTGAAAATCATGAAATTTACACCAAAAAATAATGTTTATGTTAGAATGTTAGATCTAACCTTCTACCCTAAATTATATTTTTGGGTCCTTTACGCTCATTACGAAGAAGTCTTGACAAAACATATACGATGAAGAAGTTTCGACAAAACATTTACGAAGAAATCATGAGTTTTCTACGATGTTAGAAAACATGTTAGAAAACGTGTTAGATCTAACATTCTAACATAAACATTATTTTTGGGTCATTTACGCTCATTACGAAGAAGTCTTGACAAAACATTTACGATGAAGTCTTGACAAAACATTTACGATGAAATTCATGACAAAACATTTACGATGAAGAAGTTTCGACAAAACATTTACGAAGAAATCATGAGTTTTCTACGATGTTAGAAAACATGTTAGAAAACGTGTTAGATCTAACATTCTAACATAAACATTATTTTTGGGTCATTTACGCTCATTACGAAGAAGTCTTGACAAAACATTTACGAAGAAGTCTTGACAAAACATTTACGAAGAAGTCTTGACAAAACATTTACGATGAAATCATGACAAAACATTTACGATAAAATCATGACAAAACATTTACGATGAAATCATGACAAAAAAGTCAACGGCTGGTCGGCTGGGGTTCGGTCCTCCTCTTGGGTCTTGGGAAAAATTTCTTATGGGCTGGAAGCCCTCCGAATAAAAACTTCATTTATACTAAACATCTTCAGGGCTAGAAGGCACGAAGTGCCTGGAAGCCCCACTACCTTTTTTTTTTTTTTTTTTTTTTTTTTTAAAACTAATTTAAGTTTAAAATAATGAAAGGATAATTTGATCGTTTTTTAAAATACAATTATTTTTGATGATTTGCAAGAATCTTTGAAAAGAATATAATATAGGTTCTATTATTGTAAAATTTATCCAAATCATGTATTACATAAATTACGATTAAAACGATGAAAGAACCAAAAAGTGTGTTTTGTGTTTTGTTGTTGTGTGTTGGATGCGGGATCCTGTTATTTCCGAAATCGACAAAAAATTTGGAAATTTAATTTCCGAAATCGAAATTATATTAATGTTTTTAATATTCTTATATCAAAAGGATTAAAGTTCATTAAGAGAAAAACAATTCTTCTTCTTCAATCTATTGGCGCATTTATTTCTACACGCCAATAAGGAAGGGAAAATTATAAGACACCATGGTGTCTTCAAAACGCTAATTTTTGATATTTTTAACAACCCTAATTCAAGCATTTTGCTGGATACATTTAACATACTATTTATATTAGGGTAAGGATGTCGTTTGGGGGACATGTAAAGTGTCAAAATACATTTGTAAAGTGTCAAATCTGTATCCTTGAAGGTCTTGTCTTTAATGTTGTGGTTACAGTAATATATGATTTATAAATACGCTTTTTAAATGCTTTTCTTGGAAAAGAATATTTAATAAATCATGGTATCACTCTTGTATCTCATAATTTTTATGATTGTTAATCTCTCTGCTCTATCTGAAATTGAATAGTATGAGTTAATCAACGTTAATCTTTAATTTTCAATAAATCATGGTTTCATTTTTCCGTCTCCCAAGTGGAGGATGCAATTGTCCCCAATGGAATAAACGATATTGCCTGTGTAATTCTTATATCTTGTTCATTACTTGCAAATTTTGTAAAGCTCTCAGTAATGAACTTGAAAACGGCTTCACTCATTCAATTTTGTCCACAATTTGTTAAAATGCGCTGCAAAAGATCGACCTACCCTCGACTTTTTGATGGAAGTTATTCAATTATTTTATTTATAATGACAGGACAAGCATGTCATGAAGCTTTTTGTCAGAATGAAATAAATAAAGTTTAATGATCTGTAGCGTGGATGTATTTGCAACAATTCTTTAGGTAAAAAAAATCAAATTTGATATAATATAATTTCGGGCTTCAGTTGGCTAGACTTGCCCTTCGGGCAAGCCCAGCCAACTTCAGCAAAATAAATATATTATGATTATAGGAAATGAGTTTATACAATGAAATTTTAATTTGAGTGATTAATATTATATTTTAAAGATTATTATGTAAAACATCTGAGAAATTTTTATATGCATCGAAGTGGTTTAGAGAATACTTTGAGATTTTAGAGATTTTTTCAAAAAATATTGAAAGCAAAGCATTTATTAAGAATTTGTTTAGAAATGAATACACTTAGATAAGACATTAGATCAGTTTGTTACTTGACAAAATTAGAGCTGAAGTCATTATCATAAATGAAAAAAATGCCTTAACTATAGCAAACGGTTGTAACGTATTTGAAACATTAATAGTCTTAACGTAATCTGATATTTATGCGATCATAGATATTATTTTGAGAAACTATTTCGGAATTTATGCAATTTGTAAGGATATTTAGGAGCTCTAAAGTTAACAATTAATAAAGCACGGGATAACAAAGAACTTGTTATAGATGAAAATCTAGAATTTTAGAATTTTCAATATTAATCTGTAACCAAATGTGCAAATTGTGAATCATTGAAGGTATGATGGAACACCAATGATGCATTAGATCAATGTAATACATTAGAAGTTTGTGCGGAATGTCTGGTTAAGAAAATATGAAATGAAAATGAAATATTTCTCTCAATTTTTCATACACCTTTTGTCTATCGTTTACGTAGTGGTGCTTCGCGCCGCTAATCATATTTTGAGAACAACTTTGGTTGTTTGTTCGGCAAAGTTATTTCAACGAATTTAAAAAAAAAAAAAAAGGTAGTGGGGCCTCCAGGCACTTCGTGCCCTCTAGCCCTGAAGATGTTTAGTATAAATGAAGTATAAAATGAAGTTTTTTGGGTATAGGGGGCTTCCCAGGGGCTGCGCCCCTTCTAGCCCATAAAAATTTTTGAGAGTCGTCGTCATTGACTTTTTTGGTAGAGCACTCAAAATAGTAGAACTTTGTCCGGACAAGTAAGGGTCTATCGTCGCTACAGAAAAGTTACGGGCGTTCCAAGGAAGTATACTTTGAGAGACTCTTTAGAAACTTTAGACGTTTTACATAACCATCCATGCTTTTACTTTACATCCGATAAAAGTGGTTTGGAAACCGTTATGAGATGGTTAGAGGACATACATGACTATGAGTTTAGATATGACAAGATAGAATATGAGAGAGGTCCTATAAACCGGAGAAAGTGTCATATAAACATCTGTCAAAAACCGCTTTTTAACTTCACTTAAAATGCCACGTAAGCTACGTAAGAATATACGTAAGAGGAAGAGAGCATTGAAACATCCAATAGTAAAACTAACACCACAACAACAGTTGCAACAACAAATGCTGAATGACCCCACTATGTTGCAACAAATGTCAAGCAATCCTATGCTTTTAAACCGAGTTTTTGGTGCACAGAGTGGAGGTTTAAGAGCGGCACTTTTAGCGAAAATGGCAGGCTATGGTGGAGCCGCAGACGGAACAGCCTATAACCCTCAAAGTCAAATGAATTTGAGTTCACTCAAAAATCAAATAGCAGATGTCAAAAAGTCAAACATAGACATACAGAAACAAATAGGTGAAAACGAAAAGAAACTAGAATATGACAGACACACAAAGAAACTCAATGAGTTAAACGTAGAGAAAAAGAAGAAAAAGAACAACTGAAAGAACTAAGTACAGAGGAATATGCGAAAAAAGTGTCAGAAAAAGCAGCAGAAGTAGCAAAAATGGAACAAGATGTTATAAATTTGAAAAACCATACTACTCAATATAAAGTACTGAAAGATGAAGAGATAAAACAAAAAGCCATGAAGACATATATGGATAGCGATGAGTATAAAAAAGAAGTTGAAGCAAATGTAAAGGCAGAAAAACTTTTACAGTTGCAAAACCAAACCGTACAGTATGAAAACTTAGCACAAGAAAGTAAAAATAACGACGCAGCCATGCAAAAGGCAATGAAAAGCGCAGAATATATAAAAGCTAATAATGACTGGTTAGATACCCAAGCCAACGCTAAAGCAGCCCAACTTATAGGGTCAATAAGGACAAAAATACAAGCGGATGAAGACAGTTCAAATGAAGCTTTAACAAATGCTGACTTTAAGAACGCCTTCGAAGCTCTTCATAGTAAGGTGAAACTAGTGAACGACTTCTCATCTGGAAAGAAACTGAAGTCTGAAGGTTTCGACAAAGAGTTAAGAGAAGTAGCACAAAATATGACGAAAATAACAGATGCAGCAACGAGACAGGCAGTTCAAAGTGCCTATGACGCCGTTAGAGCAACTGTTGTGGAAAGTCAAGAAAAAGAGTTACAACAGACCAAAACAGACCTAGTAAATGCTTTCTTAAAAACGAAAAGTCAGGTAGGACATTATGCTGCAGATGGAACATATGTGCCAGCTGGTGGAACTTATATACCACCAAACCCTCCAAGAGAAGCACCTGCACCAGGACTACCTAAAACATTTACATCGTCACATGGACACAGACACAGGCATGCACCAAAACCAACACAACAACCAACAGTTCAAAATCCAGCACCACAACAACAACCAAAACCAACAGTTCAAAACCCTGCACAGCAACCAATAGTTCAAAATCCAGCACAGCAACCAACAGTTCAAAATCCAAAGTTGGACGATAAAAATCTCTGCTACTGACAGTAGCAGTACTGCTACTGTCAGTAAAAGTACTGCTACTGTCAGTAAAAGTACTGCTACTGTCAGTAAAAGTACTGCTACTGTCAGTAAAAGTACTGCTACTGTCAGTAAAAGTACTGCTAATGTCAGTAAAAAGGAAAATTTGAGAGGGTTTTCGACGATAAAGTACTGCTACTGTCAGTAAAAGTACTGCTACTGTCAGTAAAAGTACTGCTACTGTCAGTAAAAATACTGCTACTGTCAGTAAAAATACTGCTAATGTCAGTAGCAATGGTCGAAGTCGAACCTACCGACGAGGCAATTTACCTAATTGAAATTAACGAGCTTGTTAAAGACTTCCTCAGGCAGAATGTAAAAGGCAAGCTTGTTAACGGTTAGAAACCGTATAGAACCTTCATTTTTTCCCTCAAAAATAATGTTTATGTTAGAATATTAGAAAATAACATTTTTTCTAACATAAGCGTTTTACATGGTAAACGTTATTTTTTAAATTTTGTGAAAACTCAACGGTTTGACACATGCCCTAAAAATTATTTTACTCAGAATTTTATACAGAATTCGGCAAAAATATATTTTAGGTGAAGAGGTGAGATCTAACCTGTTTTTTCACCTCTTTTTTCACCTGTTTTTTCACCCTCTTGAATTTTCATGAATTTCCTTAAGATAGAAAAAAATTAGCGTTATTTCCTGACTTTCACAAAAGACCAAAAATAAACGCTTTACATGTATTTTTCAGCAACTTCGTCAAATAATTTTATAGCTTTATCTATCTCATCTACTTCAAACGTTTCTTTACCTTTTATGGGAGCACCATACATTTTCTCAAACTTTTCAAGTAGTTCTGTTTCTGCAGCTCTCATATCGTTAACGAACACAACCTTGACTCTATTGACTGTACTGTCATATCTTTGAGTTATATTATATGTTCTTCCTATCTTATATCTCTTTGTATTGAAGTCCTTCGGTTTCTGAACGATGTAAAGTAAGCCTTCACTGCAACGTTCAGTATCGAATGAACCATATGTTATGAAGTTATATCCAACAACTGGGTCTAACCATAACAAAACTATTGGTATAAGACTTTTGTCGATGAGATATGCTGTAGTTCCATAGAATCTTACCGATATCATAAGCTCAGGATTTCTTGTCAAAATTTTCTGAGTTGAAGCATTTCTAACCCAGTCGTGTGTTTTCTTTCCAGATGGAGATATAATGTCTGACAAAGAATATTTGTTGTATTTCTTTGAGTATCTTACGTTTAAATCACCTATTCTAACCATTTTGGTGTCATTGTCTATCTTTCTAACTGTTTCAAACTCAATGTTTGTCATATATGTATTTACATACAAAATAAAAAATATTTTATAAAAAACTAACTTTATTTTTTCTATCTTGTATAAAAGATATGATTTCAGGGATTTTTTTGACGAAGTGTCAAAGTTCTCTTCGTAAAAAAAATACAGTTATATCATGAAATTTGGTCATTTTTTTACGATTTCAGGGATTTTTTTGACGAAGTGTCAAAGTTCTCTTCGTAAAAAAATAACAGTTATATAATGAAATTTGGTCATTTTTTTACGATTTCAGGGATTTTTTTGACGAAGTGTCAAAGTTCTCTTCGTCAAAAAATAACAGTTATATAATGAAATTTGGTCATTTTTTTACGATTTCAGGGATTTTTTTGACGAAGTGTCAAAGTTCTCTTCGTCAAAAAATAACAGTTATATAATGAAATTTGGTCATTTTTTCACGATTTTCATGAGTTTTAGGCGACCCCGAAAAAAGTCTGGGTCGCAATTTTTCACGATTTTCATGAGTTTTAGGCGAGTAAGATTTTCTATCTTGTATAAAAGATATGATTTCAGGGATTTTTTTGACGAAGTGTCAAAGTTCTCTTCGTAAAAAAATAACAGTTATATAATGAAATTTGGTCATTTTTTTACGATTTCAGGGATTTTTTTGACGAAGTGTCAAAGTTCTCTTCGTAAAAAAATAACAGTTATATAATGAAATTTGGTCATTTTTTTACGATTTTCATGAGTTTTAGGCGACTACGTTTTTGTACGTACTCGCAATTTTTTACGATTTTCGTACGGAATCTCGTTCCTCGGTTTTCCTCGGGTCGCAAACATATGAGGAAATTCATGAAATTTGGTCATTTTTTTACGATTTCAGGGATTTTTTTGACGAAGTGTCAAAGTTCTCTTCGTCAAAAAATAACAGTTATATAATGAAATTTGGTCATTTTTTTACGATTTCAGGGATTTTTTGACGAAGTGTCAAAGTTCTCTTCGTAAAAAAATAACAGTTATATAATGAAATTTGGTCATTTTTTCACGATTTTCATGAGTTTTAGGCGACCCCGAAAAAAGTCTGGGTCGCAATTTTTCACGATTTTCATGAGTTTTAGGCGAGTAAGATTTTCTATCTTGTATAAAAGATATGATTTCAGGGATTTTTTTGACGAAGTGTCAAAGTTCTCTTCGTCAAAAAATAACAGTTATATAATGAAATTTGGTCATTTTTTTACGATTTCAGGGATTTTTTTGACGAAGTGTCAAAGTTCTCTTCGTAAAAAAATAACAGTTATATAATGAAATTTGGTCATTTTTTTACGATTTCAGGGATTTTTTTGACGAAGTGTCAAAGTTCTCTTCGTAAAAAAATAACAGTTATATAATGAAATTTGGTCATTTTTTTACGATTTTCATGAGTTTTAGGCGACTACGTTTTTGTACGTACTCGCAATTTTTTACGATTTTCGTACGGAATCTCGTTCCTCGGTTTTCCTCGGGTCGCAAACATATGAGGAAATTCATGAAATTTGGTCATTTTTTTACGATTTCAGGGATTTTTTTGACGAAGTGTCAAAGTTCTCTTCGTAAAAAAATAACAGTTATATAATGAAATTTGGTCATTTTTTTACGATTTCAGGGATTTTTTTGACGAAGTGTCAAAGTTCTCTTCGTCAAAAAATAACAGTTATATAATGAAATTTGGTCATTTTTTCACGATTTTCATGAGTTTTAGGCGACCCCGAAAAAAGTCTGGGTCGCAATTTTTCACGATTTTCATGAGTTTTAGGCGAGTAAGATTTTCTATCTTGTATAAAAGATATGATTTCAGGGATTTTTTTGACGAAGTGTCAAAGTTCTCTTCGTCAAAAAATAACAGTTATATAATGAAATTTGGTCATTTTTTTACGATTTCAGGGATTTTTTTGACGAAGTGTCAAAGTTCTCTTCGTCAAAAAATAACAGTTATATAATGAAATTTGGTCATTTTTTTACGATTTTCATGAGTTTTAGGCGACTACGTTTTTGTACGTACTCGCAATTTTTTACGATTTTCGTACGGAATCTCGTTCCTCGGTTTTCCTCGGGTCGCAAACATATGAGGAAATTCATGAAATTTGGTCATTTTTTTACGATTTCAGGGATTTTTTTGACGAAGTGTCAAAGTTCTCTTCGTCAAAAAAATACAGTTATATCATGATTTTTGGTCATTTTTTCAGCAAAAATATATTTTAGGTGTCACCAGGTCACCAGGTCACTCGGTCACTCGGTCAACTAACATCTTTTTGAAAATGGTGACAACATGACATTTTGACAACAACACAGGAAATAAACTTCTTCGTACATGTTTTGTCAAAACTTCATCGTCAATGAGCGTAAATCAGACAAAAATATATTTTAGGTGTCACCAGGTCACCAGGTCACTCGGTCACTCGGTCAACTAACATCTTTTTGAAAATGGTGACAACATGACATTTTGACAACAACACAGGAAATAGACTTCTTCGTATATGTTTTGTCATGATTTCATCGTCAATGAGCGTAAATCAGACAAAAATATATTTCTACCATAAAGTTTCACAAGCGTTTTACATGGTAAACATTGTGAATTCGTGAAATTCTAAACAGTTTTGTAGCTTCTATTTCTTCTGTCAGTACATCGAATGTTTTAACAATGCCGAATGTTTCTTTATATTTCTTCTTGACGTCAGATAGAAGGAAATCGTCAGCAGTTGGATAGTTTTTGTTCAGAAATGTCAACATGTCCATTTTATCTTCTGCTGGTTTCTCTGCTTCTTTCTTTAAGTCAGCATAGTCGTTTCGCATACGTTCTATCTCTTTGACAGAATAGTTATATTTCCTCATTGCTGCTTTACATTTAGAACATTGTGGGTTCATTTTAGCATTGTACATTGAAATTTGTCCTGCAAGTACAACTAAGGCGTAAATGGTTTTCTTTAACTCAAAGGCTGCTGGTTTTATTTGTCCGTTCCATACTTTACCTCTTCTATCTTTATCTCTTATCTGCCATACACATTTTGCAACTAACGAAACAAAGTTGTCGTAGGTCTTAAATTCTTCAGATTTATATATGTCAATGACTTTGTGGTTGCAATGAAATCCAAGAAACTCATAGTTAACCTTACGTATGAACTTCTTGGTTTCAACTGAGTCAGTTGGTTTCACTTCTATTTCATCGAATTCAGGAATAGTGAGCTTTTGTTGTTGTATTTCAGGAAGTTTAGGTAGATGTTCCACCAGGTCCTGCATGTCATAAAGATATTCTTCATTTGTTTCATCTTTTGCAGTGCAATCTAAATCTCCTTGGAGAAGTTCTTGCTTTATCTTCTGGATTTCTGTTTCGAAAGTATATGAAGAAGGAATGAAGCTTTTCATCTCTACTAACATTGAAGTTGGGTTCATAACTAAAGAGTTTGGTGCTGTTGTTGCTAACATGTTCTTACAATAAAAATAAAAAATATTTTTTTAAAAAAACTAACTTTTTATTTTATTTCGGGAAAATTCATGAGTTTTGGTTGAAAAATACGGTGGAGCCAAAAGTGGCTCGACCTCAAAACAAGCATTTTGTGAAGAATATAGCAACCGGAAGAAAAACGGCGGTTGGTTTTTATACAAAATTCAAGAGGGTGAAAAAAAATGTTAGAAAACGTGTTAGATCTAACATGCTAACATAAACTCACTTTTTCAGCACTTTTCCGTAGTTGTATATGAAAGACAATTCGAGATAAAAGTCATAGTACAATGGTATTATATGTTGCACACCATTTGTTGTGAACCAAACTTGAAAGTCAGAGAAACTGTTACTAGGTGGTTCGTAGAATTTAGAAGCAAAGTCATAAAAGTCCTTACCGATACATAGAAAACTATTGTTGCTTGAACTGAAACTTGCATGGCACATAACATTTTGAGGGTCAAACACGTTTCTATAAACTGTCAAATCTGCTGGTGGAAGTATAAATTTAAATGGACCATCTGGTGGTAATGGTTCGTTCTGGTTTAGTAACCGAAGAAATTGTGCCCAAGAACGTTTGTCTACTTTCCAAAATAAAAACTCTGTATCTCTTGGAGGGTTAATTTCAATCTTTTGAAATGAAACGGTGGAGTTCATCTTGTCATATTCTAGTTTCAGATAGTATGTTCCATTTAGTAAAGAGTCGTATTTTTCTTGAAATTCCCAATAATATTTGTTCATTTGAGTTTGAAAGTCATTTAGAGTTTTCTCAAGACTTTCGTCTGAACGAACTGTAAAGATTCTCATTTCGTCAAATTTGTCTATTAGACCATCAGAACCTTTATACTGCCCATGAAAATATACTGCGAACATAAATGCGTTAGTTCTATTTGAAAACAAAACTCTTCTAAATCCTATTGCCTTTGCATCTGAAGGACTTTGAAGCCAACGAATTGGATAGTCAAACCTGTATACTCGGGATGAAATTTCTTCATCTGAAATAGTCCTACTAGCATTTGTATAGATATAGTCTAACGGTTTTGTATCTGCTACTTTTGTTCTTTGTTTTTCAACCTGAAGCATTTAATATATGTAAAAATATATTGTTTTAAAATGGTATGCCATTTCATATTTCTCATCTAACAAACAAGTTTCCTTCAACTTGAGGTTCACTAACATCGAAAGGCATGTCCATAAGACGTTCTTCTTCTAACCTCTCTAGTCTGTTTGGATAATTGGCACGTGCTGTTTCCAAATCCATTTCGTAGCGAAGACCAGACAATTTGTCATAGACTTTTATGGGTCTTCCCTTCCTATATTTAAACTTCTTCGAAACTCTCCAACCATATCTTTGCAACTCTGCTTTTATTCTAGCAGATTTTCTATCCATTCTATATGGGGGCATTTTTATAAAAATAAAAAAAAATATTTTTTTCTTTACTTAACATAACCGCCTGCTGCCATAAGTCTTTGACGCCAACCCATACCAGCTAATGAAGGTTGACTTGGTTTAGTTTCCAAACTAAACTTTGGTTTTGGTTTATCTTCAGTTTTTGGTTTTTCTTCTTCTATCGGTTTTTCGTCACTTTTCGGTTTCTCTGACTTTACTTCACTTGCAGGAACAGTTGTGTCGTCAACATCTTCATAAATATCATATGCCATTTGTTTTTGTTTTCCTTTCGACTTTTTGTGTTTGTTGTAAAGTTTAGAATATTTCGACTCTAAGTCAATGAGATGTTCTATAATGAACTGTTGGTCAGTGAAGTAAACTTTTCCATCTGTTGTCTCGAAAGCTCCTTCAGACTTCAATATTTTATTTGTGAGAGTCTGTTTCTTTTTTGAGATACTAGCCGTTCCATTTCTATGAAAAGTGACTTTATAGTTAGGGTTTGTATTTCCAGACCTGGCACTTTCTATTATTGAATTTTTCTCTTCATCTGTAAGTTCTTTGACAGGTTTTGACAATGGTTCTGAACTTTTTGTTTGTGGTGTCAAATCTACCGTTTCAACTTCTTCGGTCATTTCATCTCAGTAAAAAATTTTAGTTTGGTTTGTTTTCAACTGGTTGTTTAGGTTTTTTAAGTCGGTCTAAAACTTCCTGAGGTATAGGAAGAACTTTACAAACACGTGGTGTAAATGCTGGAAGCCGACAAATCCATCTTGAACTCATTTGTCTCAATGCTGCATTGTTCATTTCATCTCAATAAAAAACTTTACATTCCCCACGTTTGAGGCGGTTGAGGTTGGTTATTGTTTACCCACTGTTGTGCATGGTTATATCCTCTGTTAAAGAATCTTTCACCTTGGTCCATATAGTGTCCTGCTTGGTTATAGTAGTCATTTGCTTTGTTATAATAGTTTCCTGCTTGTCTTCCTACATTGTCCATCCATCCTTGAACTTTTCCTCTTGTTTCAGGATTTGGAATAAGATTTGTTGCATCTCGTGCTACATCCCAACCTTTCTGTACAGTTTGTATAATAGGTTGTGCTTTCTCTTTCAGTATACCTAATGTACTCAAAATCTTCCTTCCAACTCCAAATACACCTCTGGCTATTGTTCCTACTGCGGGTAAAAATCTGGATGCAACTCCTGCTAATGCGCCAAATAAACCCATTTCTTATGGGTTAAAAAATGACGAATTCAAACAAGGACCCCTATGTTTCTAAAGCGACAAAGAAAGCACTCATGGTAAAAATCTTTAGTTCAACACCAAATGCTTGGTTTATGGATATCTTGGAAAACATTCCGAGGTATAGAGAAGATGGACCACCATACTGGCTAATATTTGTCGGTCAAAACACAAGATACTGTGAAGCCATACCATTACAGTCCAAAAATATTTTAGATGTGAAAACTGCTTTGACAATATTCGTTGACAAATACCATCCAACAAAACTAACATCTGACTGTGAAAGTTCTTTCAAATCAGATGATGTAAAAAACTATCTGCGTTCAAAAAATGTAAACCAATATTTCATTGTCGACCAAAACCATTCTGCTCTTGGTGTCATTGACGGTTGTATAAAAATGTTAAGAGACTTAAACCAACCACAAGGTGGTGAAGCAAATGAAATGTCATATGACGACAAATATAGACACTTCTCCCAGGCAAAGATGAGACAAGTTTTAAATATTTACAATAACCGTAAACAAAAAGGTTTGGGAAACCACTCCCCCGAAGAAATGAAAAACAACCCTGACTTAGAGAAAGACTATATATTTAATAATTTAGTCAAAAGAGACAAACAAGAAAGAATGCCGGGCTTCAAACTTCAGAAAGGTGACAAAGTAAAAATAGAAATACCTAAACGCGACCCATATGAAAATACTATTGACTATGACAACAATGGGAACCCGACAGGTACTCACATTCGTGTTCGTAAAAATAGAAGAAAGTATACAAGAGAATATTATGAAGTTTTAGGCAAACATGGCAAAATGTACAGACTGCAAGCAGAAGATAAAACTACTATTGTCAGACCTCGTTTCAAACTTGTCAAAGTTCAAGGTGGTATACTTTCAAAGACAGTTCCTAACAAATATAAGACAACTCCTGACGAATATGCTAAAGAAGTTGAAAATGACGACTAAGCATTTCTATACCATGCGTAAACTGTCATGTAAGGTGGCATGTAGTCTTTACTTTGTCCCGTTGTTTGCGTATACCCTGAAACGCGATGTGTATGGTTTCCATCTCCCTGAGTGTTACCCCAGAAACAATTTATAGCAAACTGAACGTTGTCTTTAACATCATATCCTTTACCTTTTGTCATTCCTGACCAATCCCAAAATTTATGCTTATGCCAACCTGCTTGAGATGTACTTAAATCTATGTAGTGACTGTGCGCAGGTAAGTTTTCACCTGAAATCGTTTTACTTCCACCTGTTTCCTTTGAAGAGTTTGCACAATACAAAAACCTGTCGACTATTTGAGTCCAAGTTCCAAAACCAAGTACTACTTCTGGTCTGGTAGAGTTCATTGACGTATAAATAGAGCCTATAGGATATAATGTTTGAAGTATTTCCGTCTTTAATGTTTGAAGCTCTGTTTTGTCTGCTTTCTTCTCATATAAATCTTGAGCAGTGAATTTAACGTTTTTTTCATCCTCCATGACATAAACATTTCTACATCTAATGTATTTCATCGTTGTTATGTTTTCATCCGATGTTAAACCTTGTGGAAAGTTAGGAGGTTTCCAATATAATACATCCCCATCAGGTTCTTCAACCGTTCCTTCAATATTTTCTATAGCAACAGTTGTAAAACTTGTATGTGTATGTCCAACGTCACTTTTCCTGTTTAAGGTTTCTTGTAAGTTTGTAATATTTGCAATGGTATGTGTATGAGTCTTATTTGCTTTTGTCTCTAAGGTTTCTTGTAAGTTTGTAATATTTGCAATGGTATGTGTATGAGTCTTTTTAGAATATTCGTTTTCAGCTCTTGTCACTTCACTTGACATTTTATTGTCAACATATGTTTTGTCTGCTAGTTCAGGATGAGTATGTTCTTTTGTTGCATAAGCTTTGTTAGCTCTTTCTTCTTCTTTTGCTATTGCATCGTCTACATATGTTTTGTCTGCTTTGTTGTCAACATCTGCTTTCAAAAGAAGTTCTTTTATAGGTTTCTCGTTTAAAGTTCCTTTTGTTGGATTTATACAAAAGTATGGTTCTTATTGTCTTGAAACAGAAACTCATCTGTCATTGGGTTTAATGTCAGTTTTAAGTTTCCTTCTTTCAATGACTCAGATATCTTAGAATAGTTTGAAAAGTTTGTTGTGTTCTTATTTAGAGCTTGTATAATGAGTTGTCGGTTGTGTTGTATTTCTCTCATAGACGCTGTTTCATTTGACATTTTGATTATAGATAAAATATGCTTTCAATAGAAAAAGAAAATTCTAGAGTTGCTACAACTAAACCATTAGATGAACTTTTTACTAATGTCGGTCAAAAGTTTGAGACAGAGACCGTAAAGCATGAAGGCTATCGTTTTGACTACCCGTTAAGATGGTTAAGAGACCCATCTGTCACAAAAGCTATTGGCTTTCGTAGAATGAAGTTCATTTCAGAAGCCATACATGGTTTCCCATTTACGTCGGTTTTGAAGTTCGATACTATAACAAAGAAAAACGTATGTATGAAAATTTGAACAGGGAAAACTTTTACAAGTTAGTTTGCTTGTAAACTTAGAAACAACTCTTCAAGCTTTTCAAGAAAAAATAAACGATATCTATATTGAATATGCAAAGCAGTATAACATTGACGAAGGAGAGTACCATCTCGATATTATATATGACAGGAAAAATGCAACTGTTAAAATCAATAGAATAGAAGACCTTGGAGAAAACGTTTATATTTCTACAAAATATAACAACTTGGCATGGTATAGATTTCTGAGGATGTTAAATCAGCCTGCAGCATATCCAGTACACCCGGACTTTTATGAAGTCGAAAACCCTAATGGAATATATGAAAATGTTTTCGACTCAGATGCTATTATAGTTCATGCTTCATTTTCTGGTGCACAAAACTCTTTTTTATGCTTGGCAAATGACTTTTACGAAAAACCTACAAAGCTATATGAACCACCAAGTGGAAGTATTTCAGACTTTCAAGTATGGTTTACTACAGATGGAAGAAAGAGAATAATTCCATTATACCATGCGTTTTACTTAGAACTTAGTTTCATATACAACTACTATCGAACGGTAAAAATATAATTTTTTAATACGGTTGAGGTGTTGGATTTGGTTGCCAACTTGACTGTGGTGCAGGTTCAGGCTGTTGTATAACAGGAGCTTGTTCTTCTGGTTCAGGGTCTTTAGGTATAATACCAACAAACTGACCTACTCTTTTACCAATATTTTTGACTCCG